ACTGCTAAACTCCGGCAGCTCAGGAAAGCAAAGGAGTCTGCTTTCAGGGAGGGGGACCGCAGCGGCTACAAAGCAGCTAAATATCAGTTCAGGAAAGAACTGAAAGCAGCCAAGTCCCGGCACAGAGAACGACTACAGGAGCAGTTTGGTAACAACGATACTGCTTCTGTCTGGAGGGGCCTACAGGAGATCACCAACTACAAACCCAAAGCCCCCCCCTGTGCTGATGACCACAAGCTAGCTGACGAACTGAACTTATTTTTCAGTCGCTTTGATGCTGCCCCTGACACCTCTCCCTCCCCCACCCCCCACTACTCTAACGACCCACCCATCAGCCCTGCCCCCAGCCTAACAATAGCCGCTAAAGAGATTAAACAACTCTTCTTGAGGCTGCACCCCCGCAAAGCTCCTGGCCCGGACCACGTGTCTCCGGCCACTCTGAGACACTGCGCCAGTGAGCTTACTCCTGTGTTCACGGACATTTTCAACACCTCTCTGCAGTCCTGCCATGTCCCGGCCTGCTTCAAATCCTCCATCATTGTCCCCGTCCCGAAGAAGCCCAGGATCACAGGACTCAATGACTACAGACCTGTAGCACTTACGTCTGTCGTCATGAAGTCATTTGAACGCCTGGTTCTCTCCCATCTCAAGTCCCTCACCTCCCCCCTCCTGGACCCCCTGCAGTTCGCCTACAGAGCCAACAGATCTGTAGACGACGCCATTAACCTGGCCCTCCACCACATCCTACAGCACCTGGACTCCCCGGGGACCTACGCCAGGGTCCTGTTCGTGGACTTCAGCTCTGCCTTCAACACAATCCTGCCATCCCTGCTCCAGGACAAGCTCTCCCAGCTCAACGTGCCCGATTCCACCTGCAGGTGGATCACTGACTTAGGGTCTGGGGAAGAATGTCTCGGACCCTCGGATTATAAATACAGGAGCCCCACAGGGCTGTGTTCTTTCTCCCCTGCTCTTCTCCCTGTACACCAACCACTGCACCTCCAGCCACGATTCCGTGAAGCTGATCAAGTTCGCGGACGACACCACCCTCATTGGACTCATCTCCAACAACGATGAGTCCGCCTACAGGAGGGAGGTGGACCGGCTGGTGTCCTGGTGCAGTGGTAACAACCTGGAGCTGAACGCCCAGAAGACAGTGGAGATGATTGTGGACTTCAAGAAGAGCACTGTCCCCCCGCCCCCACCCTCCGTGATGGACTCCCCCATCACCTCTGTGGAGTCCTTCCGTTTCCTGGGCACCACCATCACCCAGGACCTCAAGTGGGAGCCGACCATCAGCTCCCTCATCAAGAAGGCCCAGCAGAGGATGTACTTCCTGCGGCAGCTCAGGAAAGCCAAGCTGCCTGCACAGATGTTGGTGCAGTTCTACACGGCCATCATCGAGTCCATCCTCACCTCCTCCATCACCGTGTGGTTTGCTGGAGCCACAGTCAGGGACAAACAGAGACTACAGCGCATTGTGCGCTCTGCAGAGGAAGTGATCGGCCGCAGCCTTCCATCGCTGCAGGACCTGTACGTCGCCCGAGCTCGAGGCCGGGCTGGTCGTATCACAGCCGACCCCTCTCACCCTGCACATGGACTATTCCAACCACTCCCCTCAGGCAGGAGGCTGCGGTCCATCAGGACTAGAACCTCCCGCCACAAGAACAGTTTCTTCCCCTCTGCTGTTGGACTCTTGAACACTTCTTAACCTGTCCCCCGCCCTTTATAAAGTCACTTTACTGCCCTTTATAAAGTCACTTTACTGCCCATCATACGTCACTTTACTTCACTGTACTGCTGTCACCTTACATTGTGTGCACCATGTGCACTTGTATATTGTAAATAGTAACTGTAACTCTATTTTAAATTTAAATTTATTCTTTAGAAGTGTTTTTTATTATTTTTATTATCTCTTTTTGACTGTTGCACAGAGCCAAAGCAATTTCCTAGTCTGTGACCTCCTGTTACTTACGTGGCAATAAAAATGATTCTGATTCTGATAAAAGAAATCAAGCCCGGGTGAACATAGCTAGCTTACATTGTATCCTCTGGAGAGACATGTCTATGGGAGAGACCTGCAGGACCGCCTCGGACTATCTATGCTCGGACTACATTCGGACGCTAAACTAGCGGTAATCTTTTGTTATATATTTTGTTAGCCGTGCGTTGCTTTTGTACCATTTTATCAGTGATTGTTGTACAGCTTAAGTTGCCCTATAGCTAATGTTAGCATATGAATCAGACAAAACTAGATGGCTCCGTGGAATGAGGGCGTAGGGGAAAAGAGATGCCTCTGAGCAAGTTAGGGGGCGGTGCTAAACATTCAAACATTGCAGAAAGGGGTATAGCGCCTTTAACCCATTAAGACCTGACCTACCCGGTAAAACCTGAGGCCGACTTTAGAACCTCCTCCAAAACCTGAAGTTTTCCTGAAAATTCAACGTCTACAGAATGATTCATATCTCAGCCTCTGTAGCAGATAGAAACATCATTTCAAACGAATTTGAGAGCTGACACTTGTGGCTGTCAATAAGAATGGAATGTATTATAAACCTCCATCCATCCATTTTCTTCCGCTTCATCCATTGCCGGGTCGCGGGGGCAGCAGTCTTAAGCAGAGACGCCCAGACTTCCCTATCCACACACACTTCCTCCAGCTCGTCCGGGGGGACCCCAAGGCGTTCCCAGGCCAGCTGGGAGACAGTCTCTCCAGCGTCTTCCCCGGGGACTCCTCCCGGTGGGACGTGCCCAGAACATCTCCCCAGGGAGGTGTCCAGGAGGCATCCGGAACAGATGCCCGAGCCACCTCAACTGTTTCCTCTAGACGTGGAGAAGCAGCGGCTCTACTCCGAGCTCCTCCCATGTGAGCAGGCTCCTCACCTAATCTCTAAGGGAGCACCCAGGCACTCGGCAGAGGAAACTCATTTCGACCGCTTGTATTCGCGATCTCGTTCTTTTATAAACCTTCAGTAGAATAAAACTAAAAATATACCACTTCCACACAGGAAAGGTAATAAAACGACCACAAAAATGTGAGACTAACCCATGTTTCTCAATACAATAAATCCAAAAAGAGTTTGGCAATAAAGTGGCACTAAGTAGAATAAAAATATAAAAAATACACTCTCAGCCTCACTGGGCTCTTTCTTAAGTAAGCAAAATAAAAACAAAAACACGACTGTTGTGGTTTGTTTTGTTTTGCACAAATAAGATGCATTGTCAATGCAAGTGAAAATTTAGGTACCTGAGCTTTAATCCAGTGAGTTCTGGCTGTGCTTCGTGAGGTGACTTCGGGGAGACGGGGGAGAGACATGGGGGAGAGACGGGGGAGACAGGCAAGACCCGCACGTGCAACAAGCTGGGGACGGTCCTGATAGCACGTGTATGATTCTGTCTGCGCGTCTATTTTCCACGGTACTTGACCACGTTACGGGCGCAGGCCTTTGGTGAACTGTGTCAAAGCGGCCACAGTTGCTCCCGGGGTCAGAACGGAGGATGTGAATTCGAGTACGTAACGCAAACAGCCCTCGGTCACACATTTCACAGAAATGATATTTTCAGCGAGAAAAAGTCGGAATTTGCGCATCCGCAGATAATTCTAATCCCTGGTCTTTGGACCATTTCATTGGTCAAGAGAATTGATCAATGAAGAGAATAGGTCAAAAAAAGAAAAAAAAAACGTGTCCGCTTTCCCGGCATTAAAGGTAGAAGTTTAACAGCGCTCCCGGCTTGAAAGGTAGAAATGCGGGAATGTGTTTATGAAGGTTATTTTGTGTTTTTATTATCAATACTTTTTTTTGCTTTTGAATTATATAAACTATAACAAAGTATTTGGTGTAAATAAATTCAATGTTTTAAAATTCAGTATCAAAAAATCATTGTTTTAAAATTGAGTGTCAAGGGTCACCCGTATGGAGTGCACGTGTTGAGTGAGCTCCGGTGTTCTGTCGAGTTGGTCTGCCCGTCGAGATGATCTGGCTCAGCTGTTAATGATGTAATGCAAACCTGCGCATGCGCGTCTCACGGCAGCCGAAGCAATCCAAGATGGCGGACATGTAGGCCGCAAATTGCTTTAAAAGTTTAATACAAACGAATTAAGAATTAATTAAAATTTTAATGCAATTTGAGGCGAGATGTTGATGGTTCCACGTTGTGATATGTGTGTTTTAAGAGTAAGAGTTTTGTGTAAAGTTTGTTTTAAGCAGTCCACTGCTCCTGTGAAACTACACTGCTGCTGTGTGATCGCTGTCCCTGAGTTGACTGCTGCATACGTCAGGCCCATGACGCGTCCTGTGACTAGTCTGTCGGGTTGATAATGGAAAAATAAATTATATTTTATGCATGTATCATACTGTATTCAATATGATTAATAATAGTGTGTTCAAACGAAATATTTAATTAGATCGAGTTTTTTCCCCATTCTGGCGGGTTTGTGCGCATGCGCAAATCAGATTTGGGCACACGAGCAGTGTAGTTTCACTGGAGCAGTGGACTGCTTAAAAACAACCTTTACACGAAACTCTTACTCTTAAAACCGACATATCACAACGCGGAACCATCAACATCTCGCCTCAAATTGCATTAAAAGTGACATTTGTGTCTTAATTCGTTCGTATTTAACTTTTAGCAGCTTTGGCTGCAGTGAGACGCGCAGTGCTGGTTTGCATTACATCATTAACCGCTGAGACAGATCATCTCGACAGGCAGACCAACTCGACAGAACACCGGCAGAAACCATCGTTTTCTCACCATTAAGCCCTCTACCAACGCTTTGGTTCTCGATTGCAAGTTAACAATTACAATCTGGGATTTAATTCCCACAATGCCGCCTCCTAAAGTTGCCACAACTGCGGAAAAGGAAGATGCTAGGGCTAATGCTAGTAGCATAACAATGGAAGCTATCTGAAGCTTTTGACATTTACACATTTCTGTAACTAAATCGTTTGTATTAGAGAGGCTGTATTTTTTTTTTTTTATTACACATTTGATTGCCGGCGTTATACGTTGTTGATGGTTAGCATCATTCGGAAGACTGGATATCTGGAAGGTACACAGCAAATCTCCCTGTGTTACTTTAACTCTATAAGAGTTATATCCAACACTTCAAAAATGTTAATAGTGGTCCACACCCGATTGATGTAAAATAACACTTTTAAAAGTGTTACATGTTTAACACCAACAAAGAGTTACCGCACATCACTTTTATGGTTAAATGTCACACATTATGAGTTGAAATTAACTCACATATTCTAACACATATAATTTTTAACACCTGACAGTGTAATGTTAACTCAATTTATAGTGTTATATTCTTAACACAGTTTGTGTTAAATTTATGCCTTACAAAAGCCCCCCAAAAAATGGCAACAATACATTAACTTTCAACATTTATTGAAAGGCACACCATTTAACACAGCTTTGCATTGTACAGAAATTCAGCAGGGTTAAACAATGCAGTAACTTGGAACAACGTATGTTTTATCATCCATTGCATTAGAAAACTGCTTGTCAAGGGGCCTGTAATACTTCAAGTCACTTACACTTATAACAGAATAGGACTCTCCTGTGTCATCGATACAATAGGCATTGAAATGCTCATCAAAATAAAGTGTGTCCATTTTACACATCAAAAGAAATGCTTTGTCATCTTTAATGACAATGTTCACTATATTGTTGAACATTGGAATGTCAATTTCTTTCTGAGCATACACAAGCATCCCAATATGATACTCGGTTCCATAGCTTTTTACCCAATTTGTAATAGAGACTTCAGCAAAACTGTTCAAATCAAAAAAAGAACACAAAGTAGCCTCTCCATCCAGACCATTAACCACAACACATTTTAAAGGTCCACATTCAAATCGTTCAAAGTTGAAATTTTCCCAGTGGTAAGCAAGTTGTCTCTGGTGTTGTTTAACTAAAGATTTTGTTAGATTTTTAAAGTTCTTAATAGATCTTTTGAAAAAATTATGCTTAGCTTCGAATCGCATGCACCACCATACATACAGCGGCCCTATTTTACGGATACATCTGGGATAATGAAGCATGAAATTATGTTTCGGAATTAATCTTTTTTCTGGAAACAATAACTTGAACAATTTGTGGTGTTCATGAATTAAATGTTTCAAAAAGTATGTCATGCCATAAGTTATAACTGGGGAAAAAACAATGTTTACAATCTGAATCAAAAGAAGCAACAAATTCCAACAACTGTCATTTCTGTTCACAAGATCACCAAACATGAGGGGAGCATTTCTGACAAGACACCATGGCTGTATGGCATTTAGTCCAAGATCTTTACTACCATCCTCCATTTTAATGCAACTTGGTCGATTTTTTCTTTCAATGTAGCCATAGTTGAAACTTTGAATTCTTTGTGACAATGTATCTAAAGATAGACATTTCTGATCAATTAAATATTTAAAGACAAGTTTTAGTTCGTATTGAACAACACCTTCTAGTAAATCATGCATGATGTCCACTGCATAGTTTTCAGAAGTATGAAAAAAATTGAGAGTATTAAGCAAGCAAGATAACGCATGAGAATGTCTTAAATGCTGAAAAAGGAGCTTAGAACTTCTATGGTGTGCCTTACAAGTAAAGCAAGTGAACATCACTTTACTGATCTGTGTTTAAAATTCTGGCCCGGAGTTCCTTCACTCTTGGACTTTCTTTAGTGTTGCCGACGTCAATATTGAAAACTGTAGTTTGAATGAAAGTGTAGAAGTTGCAGAGGAATTCTTCATAGTTGAGACCAAAGATGAAGTGCGATTTGAACAGTTCATCAAAAGCAGCAAGTGATGTCTCAGCTCTGCAGGGTATTGGCTTGTGATCAACGATTATGTAGAACTTCTGGATGCTGTTTTTTGATTGACCCACGCAGAGTAGAAGAGGCTGTCCAGGCTCAAGTCCAGCAAGGAAGACTTCGATGCTGACACCAATCTAAATAAAAAATATTTAAATCCATGATGAACAATGTATAAACATAATTGTAAATTAAATGTAATTTTGTCCTCGAAAAATATTTGTTTTTCTGCAATTAAGACACAGCATGTGAAAAATAATAAAATCTATGAAGTGAAACTTAAGTAACATGCACATTCAAAAATAAAAATCAGTGTAATAGATATGAAAAATCTGAACTTTTAGGCAAAAAATAGGACTGATGGCGCTGACCATTTATTATTCACTATTGTTTTCACCATCTCATTTTTTAATTTGGCCTGCAGGAGCTTTTTTATATCATAAAAGAACTAGGCAGTCTGTGTGCAACAATTTTCAAATGTATGGTTTTATTTAGTTGATTTATTCAGTTTAGTCTATTTTTTATAGATAGTGAATTATTATGTACAAAAGTCCAAATTTAAATGAGTTCAAGACCATTACTAATCAAGAGCAGAGTTTGGATCAAAAGCATAAACTGAATATAACTTGTTTAATTTGAAACATGCAAATTGAAAATGACATACCTGTAAGTATTGCACAAGCTTTTTGATTGCTTGTGCAGCGCTAATTTTAGCACTTTTCTTGATGCCTTTGGGAGCAGGTGTACTAAAAGCAACACACTGGACAAGTCACTATCCCAACCTAGCAGTACAGAGAAATCAGAAAATGTATACACAAAAAATGTGACAAAAAACTTACCATCTTCAGTTAAAAGTGCATCCACACGATCACTGCAATACAAGCCCTCACACTCCTCCAGGACCCGATTTTTAAAGAAAGTGGGCCACTTGGACAGGAATCGGTTAGAAACCTCCTCCCCAAACATCATTGCGAAGTCTTGTTCTATCTGTAAGGAAATAAATCAGTCTCACATACTTATGCAATTGGGAGACAATATTACGCTTCTCTTACCAGACCCGGTGTATCAAGGAATCTTGTGAAGACATCCAGGACTGAAAGGGAGCTTTCTTCATCATGGATCATAGACTGGCGATACTGAAATGTAGACTTCATTTTCTCCATGACCACATTTTCATTGGCCGAGTGCTTTAGCAGTGCCGTTGCTTCAAGGCAGTCATCTCCATGTAGCTGGTTATTTTCAGGAAGAGATCTCTGCCTCTTTGGCCCAACTTCAGGGTCATAACTTTTCGATTGTCTTTTTGACTGTGGGAGCATATTGCGTTTACATGTCTTCAAACGCCATGCTATGTACCCTGTGGTGCCTACTGGATCATAAAAATGCTCCTGGAGGTGCATAATAAACTTTAGACATATTGAAATGAAAACATAAACAAAGTAAACCTCACTTACATATCCTGTCTCTGAAAACGGATCCCTCAGGCACGGGAACAGTGTCACTATTCCGAGAGCATACATGATCCGAACAGGGACTGGTGGACAGCCCCTAAGTAGAAGCAATTGAATATTGTCATAATTTTGATTACAGTTTAAACATTGTTTTTTTAATTACATACCCATAATCCTCCATCATTTTTGCCACAACCTTATTCACAATGACGATCCTTTTTTTCTGATATTTTCTTTGATTGGTAATACTCCTCCATGAGACCTTGTCCTTCTGCTTTTGACTGTATTGCATTCAGCACCATCTAAAAACAAAGGTACATATAATACAGGGTTTATACAGATAATAGCAAGTCACATATTATGCTTCCAAATGTAATTTTAATGCCATAAATTCAACTATGGATGAAATTGTAAAGAAAATCACACCTGTATGACTGAGGACTTGCAAGGGAAAATAATTCTACCAAAAGTGCAGTAAAGACCCTAATTTCTACATTTGTGACCAATCTTCTGCAGTGAAATTAGTAATGCAATGTTGTAATTGCCAAACTTATTTGAAGGATTTTATGTTTGAATACTGAGGTTTAATGAAAATTAAGGTCCCTCCTAAAAGATACATTGTATGACTTAATGCCCAGTGGAAAGTCTGTTGAATTCAGTACCTGTTTAGCCTTCTCTCTTTCATAATCTGTGTGCTTTCCTCCATTGCTCCTTACTATAATTGTTGAATCTGAATCAGATGAGATTCCAGCTAAAGGACTGGAAATGTCGGATCCAAGTGATTCTTGTGAGCTTGGGGAAAAATCAAGTACAACTGAAAGCAAACCAAAAAATTATTAGTCTATAAATGGTACATCTTTTTTGTTTCTTAAGCCCACCAGTTGATTTTTGTGCAGATACGTTGATTGTGATGTTACTTCTCTCCAAAAGCTCCCCAAACACATCTGCCTCCACTTCTGTGCCCGTTTCATCCGTCAAGTGCAGCTGTGTTCCAAGTGGAAGGCCGAGCTTCTCTGTGACTGAAGAAAAAAAAAAAGTCAAATGTCTAACTTGATGACTGCATTTGAATTCGTGGTTTGAAACAAGATGATCAGCCAAAAATCCATTGGAGTAAGGCTGAGCTTTTTTTTTTATGCTAAAAAAGCGTTTGTCCTTTTACTTTAGGCTAGATCATAGAAAATGGGCCAAACCAGCGATCAGTAAAGTATCCGTCTAACTTCTTTCAAATATCAACGCTTAGGCCACTACAGACGAGTTACTCGTCTGGTTGTTCATAAACTTTAGATCTTGAAATTAGACTCCCAGGATAATCCTATGGCCCAAAATGAGGGTGAAGATAGTCACCTCATCACAAAGCTATTATGTTTTCTCCATTTAATGATGTTTCTATTGAGTAGTTACACAAAGTATAATTAATAACACAAAATTAAAAGACCTAGCTAATAAAAATGGCTATTCAAGTACCCCATCTAATTAGACTTTAATTGTGAAACTTCTCACAGAAAAATTTAAATATTAACATTATGCCAACTAATAATCCCTTCATCCATGTTTTGTAATTAAGCAAAATTACCACAACTATGCTTTAGAACATTTATAAATTCTGTGTAACTTCAAACAGGGTTTGTGCGTAATTTCCCAATCTAAGGCAGGTGCAAGTGTGTCATATGGCATGTTGTTTTAGTAATGCGCTACACATTAATGTACAAACTGTTTATAACACATTGCATTAGTTCTGGAACAGACATACCAACCTTTCTGATGGAACGTGTCAAAGTCGCTACAGCCATAACCACTTGGAACCAGTGCGATGTACTTTTGGACTTCACCAAATTTAACTGGGATTAACATTTTTCTAAGTGGGAAAGGGAAAAAAATGTCATGGTAGTATCATGAAGCAAAACATTTTACAAACATTATAGTACCACAGTCCAATTTAAAAAACGAAAAAGCCAGTCACAGACAAAAGTACAGTGAAATACTAAAAGGGCACATGCCCACTGCCCAGACAAAACACATGTGCATCAATGCTGAAGCTAAAAACGTGTACGTGTCTAACTATAAGCACATTGAATAAATACCTATGCACACTAAATACGAACTCCGATGCTAACGATAAAAGCCAACACTGATCAAATGGTGTCAACGGACTGGAAAAACTAGTAACACAGCAAGACGCTAAAGATGCTAACGGGAAGCACATGGAGACCTGTGCGCAATGACTAGGCTACGCAGCACGTGCTCCGATGCTAAGCGTATCTAAGCTAGCATGCTACTAAAGCTACCGAAGTGTATAGGCTAAATCTTTAGTAGTTATCGGTGCCGTGTGCCAATGATATCACCAATCTACAAGTCACAACAGCACCAGGCTGGACACCAAATATTGCAAAAGATGAAAGAACAGCATTGTTAGTTCAAAGAAGACAACGAATGGAAAGGCCCAGTGGGGAAAAAAAGCTAACTAATCACACACAGAAGCATTATTGCTTTACCCTGTAATCAAATGTATCATGCACTCCGCACATGTGCATCAATGCTGAAGTTAAAAACGTGTACGTGGCTAATGCTAAGCACATTAATAAAATACCTTTGCACACTAAACACGTACTCCGATGGTAACGATACAAGCGAAGACTGATCAAATGGTGTCAACGGGCTGAAAAACTAGCTACGCAGCGCGATGCTCAAATGCTAACTGGAAGCACATGGAGACCTGTGCGCAATAACTAGGCTAAGCAGCACGTGCTCCAATGCTAGGCGTATTTAAGCTAGCATGCTACTAAAGCTACCCACGTGTATAACTAGTGGCTGAGGACTAGGCTAATGCTTTGGTAGTTATCGGAGCCGCGTGCAAATGATATCAACAAGCTACTAGTCACATCAGCACCAGGCTGGACACCAAATATTGCAAAAGACAAAAGGGTACTAGCACAAGGTGGGCGAGGAGTGGAAGGCAGGCCCAGTGAAAAAAGCATAGCTAATGCTAAAGGTAACTAATCATGCACAGAAAAAAAGCATTTTAGCTTTACTTTTACTGTCGTCAAATGTATATTTACTTCACAAAACATAATTATGCAGCCAAGTGATGATATTACAATACACGTACAAGTTTTTTTTTTAAAGTATAAAGCACCATATTGGTTGCTTTGCCTACATTAGGTGACTTTGATGATTATTATTAGCAAAGAAACAATTAGCATTTTAAACAAAGGTGAAATTGAAATGTATCCTTACTTGAGATGTTTCACCGCTGTGGTTGAATTAGTGCTTGAATGAGAACTTCACCTGCTGACTACGTCCTCGTCGCTGGCTCGTGGAGGGTGGAGTCAGTGACGTCACAAACAGAAACACGCGAGAAGTGTTGAAAGCGCAACACTGTCTGGGAACTCCAACTCATTTTTATAAATGACAAATGACGAGTTAAAATAACTCAAAGTGGTCAAATCAACTCAGACTTTTTATCACTTTACACAAATCAACACCAACACAGTGAATTTAACTCATCTACATTTGCTGTGTATTGTATTTTTGAATTTTTAAATTGCATCTTTCCTTGTGGGGGGTGCAAAATCTTACATATTTATAGAAATACACTGGTCAACAGGTTGTCATGCTATCTCTTAAACATGCTGTACAATGGCCTTGCTTAATATAGTCAGCTGGAATGTAAGGGGCCTGAACCACCCGGTCAAACGAAAGATTTTCTCACATATAAAACAGCTTAAAGCCAAAGTACTTTTCTTACAAGAAACTCATATTCACACATCAGACCTAAATAGATTACTACGCTGGAATGGCCAATGTTTCCATTCCACATTTCAAGCCAAAGCACGCAGGGTTTCAATTCTTATTTCCCACGACATTCCCTTTGAATCACATGTGATATCGGATACTAATGGTCGATACATAATCATCTCTGGAAAACTGAACAATACATTAGTTGTTCTGGTAAATGTATACCAGTGGCGTGCGGTGAGGATTGTGATTGGGGAGGCACTGACTTTAAAAGTCAGATTTACCATCTTTATTAAAATAAAACAGCATTTAATCGCCAATGCAATAACATCCACAAACTTCATATACAGTAAAGAAAACAAGGATTCTTTTAATAATCTCACAACAAATCTAGCTGCTGACTCTCTGCTCCGCATCAAACAACATCTTTAAGAAGCACAGGTGCGAGAGAGACAGACGCGAGCAGAGAGAGAGAGACAGAGACGCGAGTAGAGAGAGACAGAGACGCGAGCAGACAGAGACGCGAGCAGACAGACAGAGACGCGAGCAGACAGAGACGCGAGCAGAGAGACAGACGCGAGCAGAGAGACAGAGACGCGAGCAGAGAGACAGAGACGCGAGCAGAGAGACAGAGACGCGAGCAGAGAGACAGAGACGCGAGCAGAGAGACAGAGACGCGAGCAGAGAGACAGAGACGCGAGAGAGAGAGAGACAGAGACAGAGACGCGAGCAGAGAGAGAGAGACGCGAGCAGAGAGAGAGAGACAGAGACGCGAGCAAGAGAGAGAGAGAGACGCGAGCAGAGAGAGAGAGAGAGACGCGAGCAGAGAGAGAGAGACAGAGACGCGAGCAGAGAGAGAGAGACGCGAGCAGAGAGAGAGACGCGAGCAGAGAGAGAGAGACGCGAGCAGAGAGAGAGAGACGCGAGCAGAGAGAGAGAGACGCGAGCAGAGAGAGAGAGACGCGAGCAGAGAGAGAGACGCGAGCAGAGAGAGAGACGCGAGCAGAGAGAGAGACGCGAGCAGAGAGAGAGAGACGCGAGCAGAGAGAGAGACGCGCGAGAGAGAGAGAGAGACGCGAGCAGAGAGAGAGAGAGACGCGAGCAGAGAGAGAGAGAGAGAGAGACGCGAGCAAGAGAGAGAGAGAGAGAGAGAGACGCGAGCAGAGAGAGAGAGAGAGACAGAGACGAGCGAGCAGAGAGAGAGAGAGAGACGCGAGCAGAGAGAGAGAGAGAGACGCGAGCAGAGAGAGAAGAGCAGAGAGAGAGAGAAGAGACGCGAGCAGAGAGAGAGAGAGACGCGAGAGAGAGAGAGAGAGACGCGAGCAGAGAGAGAGAGAGACGCGAGCAGAGAGAGAGACAGAGACGCGAGCAGAGAGAGAGAGACAGAGACGCGAGCAGAGAGAGAGAGACAGAGACGCGAGCAGAGAGAGAGACAGAGACGCGAGCAGA